GTTTAAAGTCCCAAGAGAAATTGTACACTGATAACATCTGATAACCCACCTTTAAAGTTGGATTAAATATTATGGTGTGAGGATCCAACAGAATCAGAGAGGATGTGGCTATGCTTTGGGAAAGTTTAAGTGGATGGCCAGTGGAAATGGCCATTATTGCCAAAACACAAAGACCCATGCTGGATACAAGGGAACATGGGGACAGGTCCTAGCAGAGAGTGTTGAGACCTAAAGCAAACACAGTGCTTCTAAAGTCACAAGTTAAGTCATTCACAGTCAAGTCACCTGTCTTTGCCTCAATAAATTTTCCTACTTAATGAGTGTGGACAGCTCAAAGACAGCTTTATACAGATAAACAAGCCTGTCCACAGTAGAGCAAGCTAGCAAGAGGTGGCACACTTTGACCCAGTGTCATTCTCTCCTCCCTATTGCTATGAAAAATACAACCAGAAAAGTCTAAAGCCTCAGCTGAACCAATTAACAAACCAAATACAGACAGTCAATTTCAAATTGAAGGCAAGGTTTTATTGTGAATGCTTCCCCCCACATACCCTTCACATTCAGATCTTTCCTTTCTGCCACTCTTTTGGCTCCCCAGACAACTCTAAATAAGACAAAAGACCCTGAAGCTTTCCTTCCCTCCAGTAAGTAAAACTTCGCGCCCGTTCAAATTATGGTTGCTGCTTTTCTGTTCCTAAATGACTTTTCTACCAGAGACACCTCAGTCCTTTGCACCATAGAGTTCTCCATGGAGCTGCTGACTTTTTAGAAATATTTAGATACTGCACGACCTCATATGTGGAGCCATCTTCAGATCAAGGAAAAAAGAGATAATAAATATGAAGTGCCTTGTACAGTACCTACTCAGTAAATGCTGGGTTTTACTAATCAGTATATAATTAACTCTCCAAAAACATTTTTAATTAAAATAAGTATTTTGGTGCACATTTTGGCAACGTGTGTAATAAAATTGGAAGGATATAGAGAAAACTAGCAATGGCCTCCACAAAATGATGACACATGAAACAAAGTTCACAAAATGTTCCAGTTTTAGGAAATGGAAATGCCAATTACCCTGACCTGATCATTACACGTTGTAGACATGTATCAAATTATCTCATTGTTGCCTATAAATATGTACAATTATTATGTGCCAATTTAAAAAAAATATTTCCTTTGAATTTAATTAAGAGTCTATCATATTCTAGGCACCTGGCTCTATGGAGAACAGCAAGATAAACGCACTCTGATTTCTACCTTTTGGAAGTATAAAATTGAGGGAGGAGAGAATACAACAGGCCCACACTATACAGTGTCAAGTATGAAGTTCTAGAGAACCATTGAGGAGAGAAGACTCCATCTGACACATACTCTTAACAGCTTTGAAGTCAAGGGACAGCAGTTAGAGGGCTGTCATAGCAATCCAAGGGTGACCACAGCTGCTCAGACCTGATCAGTGGACAGGGGAACTGAAGGAAAGGAACAGACACAAACCCCCATGAGCACATGATGGTAAAAGTGCACCAGCATGGTGGGCACCATGGAAATGAAGGAGGCCTGGAATTGCTGCCTCCCCAGTGGGTGAAGGTTGGCACAGTGTCTCAGAGTACTAGGGGCATGGTGCCACATGCCCTTCCTTTCTGATAGGTATAGGGTTAGACCTTCTGTCATAAATCTTACTCTGAGTACTATCTGGAGATTGGAGGACAGCTGCACATCTAATTTTAGATTCATGCTAGAGAAGTAGAGCAGGTTTAATCTCCATGGGAGGGAGGAGTCATAGAGACATCACATTGGGCATCCACTCCTTCAAAGACATTCTGGAATAACTTTCTCATAACTTGGGAGCATTTGGAGGATGATAAGGCTATTCACATCCCTTGATGTGTTATTTCATCCTCTTTCTGGAAGACCCCCTCAAGCCCACAGATTCTGACATCCCAGTGAAGTTGAGCAGAATTCACTTGGGTACGTCTTAATTACTATCTGGAGCACGGGCTTATGAGAAGAGATGGAAACTGACAGAAAGTTCCCATCTCCATATTCTACTGCAGCTTCTACTACCTGATCTGGGTCAGGCAGCCAGTTATCTAATATCTATATTAATGATGAGTGATAATACTTGAGCATTTCAAAGCTCACAAAGCTTTAGATATTATTTTTTAATGCCCACAACAATACCAAAGGGTGAAACTTGATACCATGCTTTGAGAAATGTTAAAGTTCAGTTAAGAAAAGTTAAATGACTGTCCAGGGAATTGCCTAGAGGGGGCTCCAACAGCAGTTGTATTCAACAACTTTGTTCTTATCTTTCTGTTGGGAAGTAGGGGTAAGGTAGAAGACAGGTAGCTTGGGAAAGAATTCAAAGGCAGAGGGAATAGATATTTAGCCTTTGAGAGGAAATAGCCATTCAACTGAGGAGAAAGATTCCCTATCATTAAGCAAATTGTTCCATGGGTATGAGCCATTTAGACGGTGAAAGAAATTTAAGCAAACTTTAACTGCTTATGATTGTCTTACATATGGTGGTTTTAGAAATAAAATGCTGGAAATAGACTGTGTAAGAAACTCTAGTGGTGCTTTAAAAGCTGAGGTTTGTGTATCAGGCAGGGTTTAAATCCTAGCTCTTTCACTTAAATCGCAGCAGGTTACTTAAACTTCTCTCAGCTTCAATTTTTTTCCCGTAAATTTGGGAACAAGTAATATCACCTAACTCACAGAGGAGAGCAGAGGCTCAAATGAGAGAATGCGTGCTAAGAGCTTAGCCCAGTTCTGGGTACCTGTTCTGGGTAATAAATACCATGGTGATGATGGCTATGTTGAAGTGGTTGGTGAAAAGTCCTTTCCTCTATGAAGGTTTGGTTTTAATTTGGCATTTGACTAAAGAAGGAGAATTATCTTGCCCAAAGTTTACAAGACAAACTGGCCATGCAGAAATACACCTGAAGACTCTGGAAGGTTCCTTTTCTTGTGGGAAGCAATCCACTCCCGGGATTCCCTAGCATTCTCTCCCATTTTTCTGTGCCACCTTGATTAGATCTGTGCCTGAATTTGACTCCCTTTGTAGAAAGAAAAGAAAACGATGGAGACGATAACTTGTGGGAGTCTCTGAGAAGAAAAGTCATGTGCTTTGTTGCTTTGTTCCTCCACACTTAACCTGAAAGGGGAAGATAATCAAAATTATCAAAATCCAAGAAAAAAAGGGGCCTACTAACTTGATACCCAAGGTGAGCCAGGTAGGGCTTTCTAGTGAAACCATCCAAACAACATGGTACCCAAGTAATAAAAAGGAGATAACTGAATGAGACTAATATAGGAATGAGCCCAGTAAACATCATATAGATTTTCATAAAATGTAACAAAGAGACCAGATATTCTTGAGCTTCTGAACATCTGCATTATGACAGCATCAGATTAGAAGAAGTCTTAGGAATAGTACAGAAATACGAAGTTCATTGAGTTGTTACCAAAAGACATGTCGGGACTGAAAATGTCAGCAACAAAAGCCTGTACACCATGATAAAAATGAGACATATCCAAGTCTTATCCAAATAGACACAAGATGATTAAGAACAAACTGTGCTTTTGAATCAATATTTAGAACCACCATAGCTTCTTAGAACATAAGTGTGCCCTGGGAAGAGGGGTAGAGAAGGGAAAACACCCAATGAACCAAAGAATCACTAATCTGACTTACATTCTGTTGAAACATCAATTTATATTTTTGATATAAGTATAAATTTAAGACAAAAAATAAAGTATAACTAGAGAAAAATAAAGGTTTGTGAGTTTTTGTCCCTTTATTTGTTACCCTGAAGTTTTATACCTAGTAGATGAGGTCTTTTGTGAGATTTAGCTGAATTCTATTTTGTAATAAATTTGTACCTTAGAGGAGAGATTTCTAAAATGAAATATTTAAACTTCTCAAAAAAAAGTGGTCTCTAAAATAAGTAGTCCCCCAGGCAAATAAGATTTGGAACATGATCACCTTATATATTCTTAATATGTTAGTCTCATAAAAGGCCCCGCAGAGTTTGATGGTAAAAGAAACCTACCTAATTTTGTTTATCCCAGGACTTCTCAATTTATTTGGGAATTTATTTTTGGCTGAGATGTAATGTATTTCACCCCAGGAAACACTGGTGTAGAAAGCTGCAGGTGAGAATGGATGATAATGGCATAACTGCACTGACCCAAGAGAAAAATAATCAGGTGGAATATGAGCCTAAGATGGATGCTGGGACACAGAGAATATCAGGGCTGGGCATAGAAATGCTGCTTGCCAAATGACCTCATATAGCTTAGAAATTGGCTGAATTTCTTCTAATATTCTTTCAAGGTCCTCACTGAGTCACTCCCACAAATGATGGATCTTAATGGTTCTGAATATCTCTAAAGCCTTTATGTGTAACCATCTCCCTTTTTAACTTGATGATTCACTCTACTCTAGCAAGCAGAAGCAGAGAGAATAGGCTGTTTCATTTCCCAGTCATAAAAATACATATCAAGACCTCCATTCAACCCATGATGGACTATTATAAGTCCCAGAACTCATACGAGAAGTTTAACTGGCTGATTCTTTGGTGACACTGTCACTTCTAGACTGTCTCATTAACTGTTGTAAGGAAAGAATATACCTGAAGGCTCCAAATAACAAACAAATAAAAAACCCTGGAATGTTGAATCTAGGAGATCTGGATTCAAATCTCAACTCTGCCATTTCCAAGCAGTGTGACCTTGGATAAAGTCTTCACCATATTTTAGCTTCCTCATCTGAAAATGAGGATAATAATGCACTCATTTGGGGTCGTTATGAAGATGAGAGGAAATGACTTATGGGTGGGTATGGATGAAAGCAGAGATGAGATGCAGTCATTGTGCCATATCAACAAGAGGGAAGTCATCACCAGACCAGACTGGAAATATCATGAAAACATGTGGGCTCATCTCATCTCCCTATCTGTTACAAAGAAGTAGAAGTACTATGAAGGTGACTGTACCTGATTGTTTGTGTGCGCTTTCGGGTATAAGGAGTAATGACCTTGAAAAGCAGCTCCATCGCTCCATTAATCCCCAACATGGCTCCTGTTTTGACTGAGAAAAACAAAAGCACAGCAGTTGTAGTTGCCACAAGTGGATGGGTTAATAAAACTTGGACCAACTTCTTTAAAACTTTAAGAGGATTATCATATTCCACTAAAAATAAAACACCAACACAAATAACTATAAGGGGCAATCTAAGAATTACCTGCCTTTCTTTCCCACCTTGGTTGCAAGTTCCCTTCAACTTTACTTCATAGATCTTCCATGGCCAAGGCAATGATTTGACTTTGCCTCTGTCAGAAAGCCAAAGGGGCAATCAGTTGCCCAGCTCAGGGATAACTCCTCTGGGAAAGATTCCTATTTTTGCCCATTGGATGGTAATAAAAAATAAAGTTGTAGATCTGAATGATAGAAAAAATCTCTAAGGAATATCTTGCCAGATAAAACCTTCAGGGCCACTCTTATCTCTAAGAATGCCCTCACTTCTTTCCAATATCCCCAATAGTCCACTTTGATCAGCTTACTTTAAGAAAAGCTCGGGTCACATCAAAAAGCAAGAGGATTCTGGGGCCTGCCTCTCAAGCACAAGGTCCCGAGTTCAATCCCCAGTAGCAAAAAAAGAGAGAAGAAGCAAGAGGAAACCACAGTCTAGTGGGGGCAAAACGTTCAGTGGAAGAAGGAAGGAGTGTTATCTTTCAAGGTGACTGTTTCCTCCACAGTGCGGGCCTTTCTGAGACAGAAAACCTAGGAAGGCTCTGTGCTTTGGGCCAGCCTCGCTCTGGGAAAAGTGAGTGGGTGTAAGAGGTATTAAAGACACAAAGAGAGAAACAAGGGTAGCTTATACTGGCTTGCTCTGAGCCTTGGAAAAGGAAGCTAAATGGAAATCTGGAGGCTGTACTATAATCCATCCCAGGACAGTCCTCCGGATAGACTGAGGCTGCGGACTTAGGCATTACAAAGAGCACATGTTCCTGGATCAGCCTCTATGCATATGCCCCACCCGAGGAGGGTACACACAGTAATTTCCTGTATCAAAATGTGGGGTTTGGCATTCTAGTCATGCCCATCAATCTTCCACTCTTGTGGCAACTGACTCAGTCCTTATTTCTAAATTAGGAAAACATGCTAGAGCAAACTCTTGGCAGATAATTTAACAAAGTTTCAATGTTAAGTAGAGTTAAGGAGGGGATCATTTTAAGAGCACAAATTCTCACATGGAAGACTTTATATTTGGAACTGAGAGAAGATGACAATAAGATATCTTCACTGAGTTCACCTTTCCTGGATGGCTATCCAAGGTTGGGCACTGGCACTCTGTAAACATCCCCATCGGCCATCTGGGCACTGCTAAAAAAGGGCTCATTGTCTATCTTAGGCCCATTACAGTTCCAGCCAACTCCTCTGAAGATAGGAGCTGTTCAGAAAGCTTACTGGAACAGTCAGCAGTGACTAACAATTCACCAAAGAGACAGAAATCCACAGGCTTCTTGAACTCTGTTTGCCTCTCATCGGTAAAATCCCTGTATAGACAGTGACATTACATTTTTTAAAAATACCTTATGAAACAGTTGGTATAATAAATGTAGGTCTGAAATATAAGCCAAATGGCCACCTTTTCAAACCTATAGGCAAATCCCAGGACTTCTTGTAGTTCTGGCCAAAGGTATTATTCTAGATAACCATAATCATCATATAGTAAGGAAGGCAAGCTGTTAGCCCCATTATTGTCTAGGAAACTATGAGACACTTCAAATCTTGTTCTATTGGCAAGCTCCAAACAGGGGTGGCACACCTTCTGGCTATTCCTTAATGAGAGTTACCCATTGTACGAAGCCATGGTTCCTCTTTTCCTTTATTAGGGATACATTTTTACAGATCCATTCAGATTCTCCAATTCTCTGACTTACTGGTTCCTACATATGAGATGAGTGAGAAAAGGCTTTGCTGGTAAACAAGGAATCAAGAATCTATCTCATTATTCTCTAGAAAGACTTCCTCTTTCTGGAGCTCTCCATGCTTATAAATAGAATTCACCAATGAAAATCAGATTATTTTAATAGGCTTTAGGATAGCTAGAAAAATAGTCATCTATTTACTCTCCTAATATGTAAGCTTCATATTACTTCAAAAGACTAGAGAAAGCAGAGCAGGAAACAAAACTAGCACTGAGTAGCTGTTATATAGTTGTCACACCCAGAAATGTTGTCTTATTTATCCCATCAACCAACTCTACGAGCTTTGCAATGGACTAAATTGTACCCCACACTTTTACCTAAGTTAAAATGAGGCCATTGGGGAAGACCATAACCTAATCTGACCTGTGCCCTCATCAAAAGAGGACATTTGGAGCACAAAAAGTGACACCAAGTCACACATGCAGGGAGAAAAGATCATGTGAAAGAAAAGACAACAATCTTCCTGAGACCAAGAGGAAAAGCTTCAGAAGAAACCAAACCTGCCAAAATCTTGAATCTCGGACATTCAGCCTTCAGTACTGTGAGAAAATTAATTTCTGTTGTTTAAACCACAGATAGTAGTATTTTGTTATGACATACCAAGCAGGTTAATAGTAGTAATTATTGCCACTATAATTTTACAAGGGAAGAAACTGAGGTTAAACAAATTAAGTACCCATGTTTCGTGACTCATAAAAAATAGAATCAAATTCAGATCTTCTCAGATTCTTTTTCCTACAGAGTATATTAGATCTAAATAATTGTCACTTTCATTCTATAAGAAGGGAGCTAGAGAAAGGGAAGAAAAATTCTGTACTTATTATATGTGAGGTAGGAGGTATAGAATCTAATCTATTAATAAAAATGTCTCCATATGGACTAGAATTAACATGACTTTTGGAGTTAAAAATTCAGCCTTCATGAATTTTTATCTGTATAAATTCAAGCAATTATTTAACTCTTCCAAGCAGCTTTTTTCTCTTAGCTATAAAATTGTGGGTCTAAGTACAGGATTGGTATGTTAATCAGAAATAATCCAAATCAGGAAATGGTAAATAAGTATCAACCTATGTGCCGCTATGTACCTCAGCAGTCACCTGAAAGACTCTTTTGAGAAGGATAATGAGATAAAAACAAGTGAAAAAATTGGTAAAATTGTTGTTATCAAAGACTCTTTTGAGAAGGATAATGAGATAAAAACAAGTGAAAAAATTGGTAAAATTGTTGTTATCAATGAGTAGCTTCAGGGCTCTAGTAAGATTTATGGTGCAAGGGTAATTCTTGACAGGTGTAACACACAGCAAAACTGTCCCTTCAATATCATAATGAATGAAGAAAAGCTTCCTTTCCCCTGCTGTAGGTCTTTTTCACTTGGTGGTACTAACAGAGAAACCCAGAGTGCTGTAATATGTGGGCCACAAGGAAAACCAACATCAAAGTCCATCTCCATGAGCTGGCTCAAGCATTTTACCAGGTTAAGGAAATGAAAAAATAACTTCTTGCCTCCACACCCTCTGGATTGTCAAGCTCCTTTACTTATCTAGCTGGAACCACATATATTCCCCACCAGCACCGTCATTCCCACCAGACTCTCACATAATTTCTAGCCCAGGTCTGGAAGCCACCGTAGAGGCCACAATAGTCACTTACCACTGGAGGCAAACACACGCAGAGCCCAAAGACAGTGTAGAAGGTTGTGGCTATGGGACAGGTTTTTCCTGGCCAAGATCAGTGTCACATCAAGTGCTTCCAATTCCAGTGCCTTCTGCCCAATTTTTTTATCTAGGAACACAAATAAATCTCTCTTAGTTGGATTTCACATTGATTCTGATGACTGCAACATGTTTGGAGTACAGAAAAGGAAGATGGTAGAGGAAGGTTAATCATAGCCAAAGACCTACTAAAAAATACTGCAAAACATGTTCCCAGTGGAACAAATGAATCAGAAGAGCTCATCCTGTATACACCTATTTTACATGAAGACTTGTGCACTGTACGACTTTCAAGTCCTTATACCTAAAGATGTTTCTGGTTGTCCTCGTGCATAAATTCCAGTTTAACTGGGCATCAATTTCTTCCTACACAATAACTCTAGAATTAAGAACACTTAAATAACATAACATTCAAATGTAATGCATGAACTTTGATTAGAACTCTGACTCTAATATATCTGTAAAAGACTGTTGGAAACATTGGGAGAAACTGGAATAAGCACACATTAGGTATTGTTAATTCTATTAAATTTGAGATAATGGTTTGTGCTTATGTAGGAAAATGGCTCTTTTCAAAGAAGTGCACTCAAAAGGATTTTGGAGCAAACTATTAGCTGTAATTTTCTTTAAAATATTTCAAATAAAAATAAATAGGTGAAGAAAATATGACAAACCTAGGGTCTCACATATAGTGGGCAAGTGCTCCACTGCTGAGCTATACCCCCAGCCCAAGGTAAAATGTTAACAACAGTTAGAGAAGTTTTAGGTAGATAAGGGCTCATTCTTCCGTATGACACAGAATTTTCCCAATGAAAAACAAAACGTATTTTAAGAAAATAAAAGTTTTCCCTCATACATCTCTAAATTATTGCTCCAAAAAACCTGACACTGAGTATTGTGAATTAGTCATCATTATTTTAATAATTAAAAATAAGCTTTAAAACAGGGGGAAAGCATCCTTTGGTCTATGCTCCTTGCTTCCACTGTGATGCTAGGTGATGTATCCAGTCACACTGCATCCTTTCCAAAGTGTGATTCCCATATCATCGTGGTCATTTTCTCAGAAATGCATTGCTATTATTAAGTGCAATATTTCTCTTTCTGTGTTTTGCTTATTTCGTTTAGCATAATATACATGTTGTGGCAAATGATGGGATTTCATTCTTTTTTAAAATTGAATAATACCCCATCATGTATATATACTATTTTCTCCCTATCCATCCATCCATCCATCAGTGGATGCTTATGTTGTTTACATATTTGGCTATTATAAATAATGCTGCAAACATGGGAATGCACATATCTTTATAAATTGGTGATTAATGATTTCATCTCCTTTGAGAATGTACGTATACCCGGAAGAATGATTGCTGAGTCAGAAGGTAGTCCTATTTCTAATTTCTTTGGGATTTTCTATACTGTTTTTCAAAATGGCTGTAAAAATCACCAATCTGCCTTTCCAATAACAATGTGCAAGATTTTCTTTCCTTTCACACCTCTAACACTTTTTCCATATTTAGCACTGAAATCAAAGAGCTCTAAGCTACATCTCCAGCCCATTCATTTATCTGTCTGTCTGTCTGTCTGTCTATCTGTCTGTCTATTTCTATTCTGAGGCAGGGTCTCCCTAAGTTATCCAAGCTGGCCTGAAACTTGCAATCCTCTGCCTCAGACTTTCGAATAGCTGAGAATACAGGCACACACCACCACACCTGACTCCTCACCAACATTTGTTACTTCTTGTCTTTTTGGTAATAGCCACCCTCAACCTTGTGAGGTAATAACTCAGATACACAGAGATAGAGAATTAAACACTTATTGACAGAGGGAGGATTGGGGAGAAAAAATGGGGAGGGTAGGTCAAAGGTACAAAGTAGCAAATATGTAGGATGAACGAGTGTAAACATAATATACAACATGAGGATAAAGTTAATAAAATTGTATTGTATCAAGGATTTTTGTTCAATATGTGGATTTTAGCTCCTCTTGTAACTAAAAATATATAATGTATAACTATGTAAAATGACAGATATATTAATCTGCTTCACTATAGTAATGATTTTACTATCTACATTACCCCAAAATGTCATGTTGTAAATCGCAAACATACACAATAACATTCACTTTAAAAAATTCACTGCAAGTTAAAATTCACTGCAAGAGATAATATGCTAAACATGATTTTACCAATTTTACCTCTGGGCCTAAAGGACATCAGCAACAAGATTATAAATAAACTTACATGACCCATCCTTTCTGAGAAAAGAAATATCTACCCAATTGTAATCATGAGCAGCCAAACTTACTTCTCTTCTGCTCAAGTCAGCCCATGGCAGTTTTAATACCAATTCCAAGAACCATGACCTCTTGATGGCAGAAACTGCAGTGACATGATTATTAAAGCAATGTCAAGAGCAACAACTTGGAAACCACTGCCCAGATGTATCTACCATCTCTCTCCTGCAGCACCTAGATGACTTTTATTTGTCAGACCTCTGGCCCCACATGCTTGGCACATGACATATAATACACCCTTAATTTCACAGCAACCCTACAATTAAATATTGTACCTCCCTTTTTTGTGGTACTGGGGATTGAACTCAGGACCTTGTGCTTGCGAGGCAGCGGCACCACTGGGTTAAATCCCCGGCCCTGTACCTCCCTTTTATACATGGGCCATAATGGTTCAGAGAGTTTAAGAAACTTGCCAATGTCACACAGCTAGTCAGTGTCAGAGCTACACTTGAAACATAGATCTGACTTCCCAGCTTGGACTGTTTATGACCAGAGCATATATCAATCTCTACTGTCTTTTCCTAGAGTTTCTTGACCTACTCTTACTTTGCTGACTTCCTCTCTCTTGTTCTTCAGCTTTCAGCTCAAATGTCACCTGTCCCTGACGATGCCATCTTAGTGTAGCCTCACTTTCTCTTCCTTATGCCACTCATCATAGTCTGCTAACATCCAGGTAATTATTTGCTGACTTGTTGGCTGCCCCATTTGGAATGCGAGCTCTGTAAGAGAAGGCTCCTTAACTCTCCTGTGGTGTTCTCAGTGCCTAGAACAGCATTTGGCCTTGGTAGATGTATAGTGAGTGAGTAGCTGGTGAATGTTCGCTAGGTAGGCCGTATTGGTTTTTTCTGGGACATCCTCATGCAGGTGTGAGCTGATGCTCATTTCTCAGTCAACGTCTATAGAATATTGAATGGACTCAAAGTAGAGACAATACTAAAAGGAAAGAATGCCCCTGAGCCTTTGGGCTCTTGGCTACAGCTACTGACAGTGAACATCGGGAGGTCTGGTTTTCAGAGTGTCTGAGCTTCTCTGACCTGTTGGGGAACCCAACACACAATACAAGCTTAACTGCTACAACAAGTTTGCAGTATTTGCATGAGCTAAGTGCCCGGGTTTTTTAACTGTACTCCAAGAAGTTCCAGAGCTTTAGAGAGGTGTTTTGGAGCCTTCACAGCGAAAGAGAAATGACCATGGAATATAACTGGAGAACGCTCTAAGCCTTCCCCCTAGTCCTCCTCAACTAAGGAACCTCTAGTTCTATGTGACTTTTGTAGTAGATTGAATGGATAGTGTTCCCCTAAATTTAGGTCCACTCAGAACCTCAGAATCTTATCTTAGTTGGAAATGGGATCTTTCTAGATTTAATTAGTTAAGGTGAGGGTATACAGAATAGAATGGGCTCCAAATCTAAACTTCTGATGTCCCTACATGAAGAGGAAAGAACATGCACAGACACACAGAGGAGAGCACCCCCTGAAAAATGGAGGCAGAGGCTAGAGAGATGCAACTGCAACACAAGAAACATCAAAGATTCTGGCAACTACCAGAAGCTGGGAGAGAAGCATAGAACAGACTCTCCCACAGAGGCTCCAGAAACAAAAATGACAAAGCTAGTTCCTTGACTTTGGATTTCTGGCTTCCAGAACAATGAGTCAACATATATAAAACTTCATTTTTCTCTTCCCTCATAATTTTTCCTTTCCCTCCTTTCCTTTCCCCTTCCCCTCCCACTTCCCCTATCCCTTTGGACCTTTTCTTCCTATTTTAAATTAACAATTACTCATTTTAATCCTTATTTACACTTTCAGTTTCTCACACTAGAGAAACTATTTGGTATTACATATGTGTGTCCTATTTATTTCACTTAAGAGGAAACAAAGTCTATGTAAATAGGAAAGGGTTGAGGGGGTGAAGGGTGCACAGGTAATGGGGAAAAAATAAGAACCAAGATACATCATGTTCAGGTACAAGCACCCAATGATAAATGTAAATGTACTGTATACCTAAAATGTACCAATAAAAGAATTTTAGAAAAAAAAAATATATATATATGACTTCATATAAGATGCAATTGTAAAAATGTTTCACTTATTTTTTAAAATGATTAAAAACTGCAGTGGGGTAGCTCCTCTTTTATTCACTTATGTGACTACGCCCATCTAGTCCATGCCTGCTCTGGCTTCTGTCCTAAACCACGTACGTTGGAGTAGCTGACATCTAGGTCAAAACATTTACTTCTCTATGGGGCTGGCCTACTCATCACTAGCAAGGAAGCAGGGCCTCCCTGCTGCTTCCTACAAGAGCTTCCCAAATAACTCTCATGCTGACAGCTCCAAAAGTGCCCTTTCAGTTGCCTTTGGGTCTTGGAGTGTGGGTACCTCTGAGGCCAACTTTGGCCAGCAGCCTGAAGAGAGGCAGGAGAATTTCATAGTCAGGAGAAGGTGTCCTTGCAGTATCCAACAGGGTCTGCAGGAGGGCTTCACTGCCACCCTTGCTGATCAGGTAGTGAATCCTCCGGTCTGTGCCTGGGGAAAACCAGAGAACAGATGAACCATAAGTGATAAGCCTCATTTTCCTTAGAACAGACCTTGGACCTAACAGCAAGAGTTTGAGCAAAGATTGGTTCAGAACCAGAAAACAAATTTAAGTAGTTCTTGAGGCAACCTTTGTTAAAGTTACAGTATCAGGTAAGGGGAAGGAAATATAAAATGGAGAAATAAAACAATATTTAAGAACCTAGATGTATTCAACTGCGGCCATTGTAAGAAGTGGAGCCTAGAATCCATTTCTCAAAGAACCTGTTGAGTCTTCACTGATGTTTGTGCATATGTATGTACATGTTTATGAATAAGCTTACACATCACCATGTGCTTAATGTCTTTCTGTTGTAGGTTTGAATCATTAGTAGAAGGCACTGGGATGATAGCTTATTTAGAATAATTTTATTGATGGCATAATGATTTTTCTGATGCTGACCTTCAGTGACTGATGGAAGGCAAATATGGAAACCTCTGGAATAATCCCTTAAGAAATGAATGTCTGATTGTCCTACCTAACAAATTTTGAAGAGCATCTGGGCCAAGGTTGAAATATTGATCTTTCTTTCTACCTAAAAATTCTGAACAGAGACTTCCCCCTCACTCAAGGATGAGCTGAAAAGTAGTGATCACATCGCAACTTGGGAAGGGTCCTGGTTGACCTAACCAAGGTAGGCAACAAAGTGGAACCTTACCAAAGAAGATTCTCTGATTTTTTTCATCCTAATGAAAAGAAGGGAGGGAGAGATGGGGCAAAGGAGGGAGGAAGGGAAGAAGGAAGGAAGGAAGGAAGGAAGGAAGGAAGGAAGGAAGGAAGGAAGGAGGGAAGGGAGGGAGGGAGAGAGGGAGGAAAACAGGGAGACAGTGAGGCAGGGAGACAGGGAGGGATGAATTACCATCTGTATCAGAGGAAGAGCTCCAAGGTTTAATTCTGAGATTCAGATACCTTTGGAAAAGCCAGGAACAGCATTATATCAGGAGATAAGTGACTTCACCTCCAGAGGGTATTTCAGTAAAAAAAATTTGCAGGGAAGTTGCCCTGCCAGTGGTGGGCAGCATAGCTGACAAAAAAAAAACCCAACATGATGGGACCCTTGAGGCTCTAGCTTTGGTGTATCATTCATTCTTGCTATTCCACATTTGTGCAAATATTGCTGACTACTCTAGCTAACCCAGTTGATTCCAAAGTACTCAATTCTGTCACCTTATGACTTACCAAACTTCAAAGTCCAATTTCTGCCTCATATTCCTCTTTCCACCTGCCATATTCAAGGATGCTGTCAATCCCTAGATCCCCACCAAAGGGAACAGAAGGGGAGAGACAGAACCTTTCAGGGGCAGCCCTCTCTGAGGAGCACTGAAAGGTAGATGCAGGTCTCTGGAGATCCTTGGTCTTACAGATGAGAAACTGTTAGAATAACTACCCAGCCACTAATTTCTTCCTAAGTTTCAGTCATTGTAGGATAGGTGACAAGACTGAAGAGCCCAAGTATATTCCATATCTCATCCCTTCAAAGTGAAAGCATAGGCTGGTGACTTTATCTTTCATCAGACACTTGAGCTACAGCAATCCCAGCCAAACAGATTCCTGGAACAGACACAGCCACCATATCATTAGATGAGAGTAAAGTCTACTCACCAACAGAGAGCAAATTTCCAAGGAGCTGGAGGATGGTCAGGATGGATGCTTTGTCTGAGGAGCTCTGCAATGAGAAGACAGGTAGCCATTTTAAGAAGGAACTCAAGTGGAAGGAGGTGGTGTGAATCAAAGAAGCAGGGCTATGCTTTCTTCGACTGAGGAAGACTCCCTAAGTGAAAGGATGGGCAAAGGGAGCTCTTCTTAAGTAATAACAGAGAGTGGGATGCCTGAGGTAGGGGTCTCAGGAGGTATTCCTCCATATTTAGCCCTCAGGACCCCTCTCTGAGGATCAGTCCTGTAGTTACATCAGCAAGATGCACAATGACCAACACAGAAACAGCAAGAAAAGGAGCTTTATGGGACAAGGTGGTACAGATCTTTTATTGAAGTAGGCTTGAATTGGCTTTAAATTCAAGGCACAGGGTAAAATCTGAAATTCACCAAAATGTTCTGATGCAAATACTTGCTTGGCAGAATGGATGAAATTTGATTTTCTTGAGAGAAGCCCCAGGTAACACCAAACCATATTAGGGTAATGTTCTAAGGAATCTGTGCAATACTTGACACTCTACCCTTGTTATATAGATGGAAACCTGAGTTCAGAGGGTGGGAGGAATTGCCAAACCCCCTGAGTCAATCCATACAGCAAAGACAGAAATAAAAGCCAGTCGAACTAGACCAATAGTATCCCAATACCTATACCAATGGTCCTTGCATGGTAAGATCTTTTTACAGTGGTATAGTATTTCAAGCAAAGTCTTAATCTTCCCATTAGTAAGATTTATGCTCCTTATCTGCTTCAAAGACTTCAAAGGTCAGTGATGGTTCATGCTTCAAATGTATGATGTCCCCCAAGATCTGCACCCCATCCACAAGCTGGGTCTAGGATCCTTTCTGTCTTCCCATCACTCTGATTGTAGCTCTGACACCACACTTAATACCTGCTTTTGGAATCAAGATGCAATCCATGCCCACTGGAGATTAAAAATTTTAAACAAAGGACTAAGTTTTGTGCATATCTCTGATCTGGTACCTGGCACAGGGATGTGCCAGAGAAAATGTACAATAAATGTTTGTTAAATGGAACCAAACTGAACCAAAAAGAACATGAAGGGATCCATGAAGTCCAACAGCTCCCACAAAACAAAGTAGTGCATATACTTTCTTCATTCTGGAGCTTAAGATTTTCCAGGAAGAAGGGAGGGCAGGGGAATAAGAAAAAATAAGAACTAAGACACATTATGTAAAGGTACAAGTTCTGAGTGATAAATGTAAATGTACTGTTTACCTAAAATGCACCAATAAAAGAATTTAAGAAAAAAAAGATTTTCCAGAAAGACTTCTTCATTCCAGAGCTTAAGATCTTCCAGGAAGACATATTCCACCAAGGTGACTTACCTCACCACTAAATGTAAGGGAACTGCAAAAAAATCCGACAAGAATAAAGATAAATATCTTAATATTAAACTAATGCAAAAAGTTCATGACAGATTAATATCAAAATGGAACTCAATAATTTCTATTCTGGGTGGGATAAGCTCTGTTGAGATCCCTAGGCACTTACTGAGGAAGAAGATTTGAATATCCTCTGACATCTTTTTCACCAGGAGCTTTGGCCTAACAAGGCCAATCTCAACATGCACTATGCTAACGCCTCTCATCAGAGTTGTACTGAATATTAACAGAAGGTACAGTATTATTCTCCATATTTCCAAATCCATGTCTCCCTCCAATCTCCACCATATACACAATGCTGGTACCTTCCACTCCTTAGTCCACCAAAGGATGGAAACAGGAACCCAAGGGTGGCCAAGAAACTGATCTATCATTCTGAGTTTGCAAGACTATAGCCTTTTGAAAGTGGCCCCAGAGATGAGACACAGTAGAAAAACACAGTCCCTGAAATGTTTCTTTCATAGCCAACACTGACATTTATGGCCGGGTACATCTCACAGATACATCTCATCTTTCTGTGAAGAGAGGAGATAAAAGACTTTTTGCAAGGCTGTGTAAATGTTGTGTAACTTTTAAAATGCTGTATTCATCCCTTGCTTATTATGAATAATAAGGAAAGGAAAATAAAAAAGCAAGGAAAATAAGAGATAAGATAGAGGTGAGAAAAAGAGAAAGGGGAAACTGAAATACTAATAAGACAGAAACTGATTGAAGGGGAATAAAAGATCCAGATTTCATTTCCTTTAATTCAATTATTAATGCATACATCCTGCAAGCATCCACTGGAATTCATCTGTGTTCCAGACACCAGACTAAGCTGCAAGGCTACAAACTGATTAAAACACAATCTGCTGTGATGAGGCTCCAGGCCTGGCTGAGCTGGGCAGCTGGTAGGCAGGTAGGAACTCAAACGGGAGGGCCTGTAGCAAAGGTAAACAGGGATGCTTGGAAGAATCCCAGAAGGAGAATATAACCAGCCAAGTCCATAAGGGATGAAATAACCCACCAGGTTCCACCACTCCCAGCATAGAGGAAGGTGCTTCCGGGCCAGTGTTCCACTGTTCCCAAGCCAGAGGAAGGGGCTTTCAGGGCACAGTTCCACCACTCCCAGCCCAGAGGAGTTGAGCCATATGGGTGCCAACAGGACACACCCTCATCAAAATGAGAAGACATGTAAACAAGTCTCAAAACCAGACATCCAGATCACCTACAGCAACCCAAAAGGGAAAGGAGATGGAACACTCTGATACTCAATCACCTGGATTCTGGGAAAAATGAAATCAGAAATAATTTCTCAGATAACAGCAGAGATTGTGCTCATAGTGTAAGATATGATTAATAAATCTAGAGAAGAAACAGATAAAAAAATAGAGGAGCTGAGGAACATGATGGAATCCCAACATAGGAAACAAATGGAAACCATAAAACAGATACAAACAGACTTCCAGGAGATTAAAAACTCCATTGAAAGTCTACGCAGCAAAATGAGCCAATGTGAGGACAGAATTTCAGATATAGAAGATATGATTGCAATTAGTGACCAAGAAAAGAAAAATTGCTTCAAAATTGTAGGGGACCATGAGAAATGAATCCAGCAGCTGCTAGACAATGCAAAGAAAAATAACATGAGACTGCTTGGAGTCAAAGAAGAAACAGGAGAGAGTGCAGATAACTTTTAAAAAAATGTTCACAGAAGTAATGGCAGAAAACATCCCAAGCAGGGGGAAAGAACTTGACATACAGATAAGTAAGGAATATAGGACTCCAACTAGCCTTGGTCAAAAAAATCCACACATAGGCATATAATTGTTAAGATTCCACAAACCCAACCAAAGAACAAAATTCTACAAGCAGTGCGAGAAAAGAAAAAAATCACATAAAAAGGAAAGCCCATCAGAATCACAGCAGACTTCTCAACACAAACCATCAAGGCAGGAAGAAATTGGAGTGACATATTCCAAGCCCTAAAAGAAAACAGCCTCCAACCCAGATTGATGTACCCTGCAAAACTATCTTTCAAAATTGA